GCTTTTTTTTTTTTTAGTATTCCACTTACAAGTGATCAAATTGTGTAAGTGTATCTCAGCTACTGTAATCTCAGCTAGAGGTAATGACAATGTCTAAAATGGGGGCTTTTCTGTAATAGTATGCTGGGGGCCAAAAGCCCCTCTCCCTCTCCCAACTGATTAGTTCCACAATCCACAGAAGAGGGAACAGACCAATTCATTATTTGCAAGATCTTCCTTCTATTTCATTCCCCAAGTGTAGAAAGTCATCTTCCAGATTTGGGGACTGTATTTGTTTCCTTTGGCTGCTATCACAAATTACCACAGACTTGGTGGCTTAAAACAACCCACATTTATTTTCATACAGTTCTGGAAGCTAAAAGTTCAAAATCACTTTCCCTGGACTAAAATCAACACGTAGGCAGGGCCATGCTCCCTCAAGAGGCTCTTGGGGAGAATCCCTTTCTTGCCTCCTCTAGCTTCTGGTAGCATTCCTAGGCTTGTGGCTGTGTCACTCCAACTTTGCCCTGTGGTCATATTGCCTCATCCTCTTCTGTGTGCCGAATGTCTCTCTGCCTACTTCTTACAAGGACATGTCATTGCATTTAGGGCTCACCTTGATAATCCAGGGTAATATTCCCTTAAGATCCTTAATTAATCACATCTGCAAAGTCCATTTTTTGCCACGTAAGGTAACATTCACAGGTTCTGGGAATTAGGACACGGATATCTTTGGGGGGTCGTTATTCAGCCTGCCACAGGTGCTGTGGGGATGCCTTGCACAGAGAGGGTCCCTGAAAAACATAAATTGGCTTGCTGGTGGACTTAGCCAGTAGTCAATTTAGGTGGAGATGTCTCTTTAAATTGTAAGAAAGACCTGGAATCCAATCTTGAAGACTTTGTTAACTCACACACCTGAAGTCATGAGCCTGGATTATGTCTCTCATATGTTTCAAACACAGGTTACAGACAGCGTCCATGAGCCCCAAAGAAAGCAATCCTGGTGGTGCTGGAATCAATCAAATGTCCTTGATAACCTAAAGTTCTGCCCATTTCATTACTGTTTCTTTTCCCTGCTATGAAGTCAAGTGTAGCTGAATACATTATTTTAAAATATTTGTTAACAAATCTCTTAGGAGCAAGGGATTATGCAAGACCACATAACAGGGTGGTTAGAGAGCAGCCTCTAAAGCAGATTGTCAAGAATCCAATCCTTGCTCCACTAATTACTGGCTTTGTGACCCCACCTCTGTGCCTCTTGTTTCCCACCTGTAAAATACTCTCTACTTCATATGGCTGTTGAGGATTAAATGAGCTAATGTATGTAAAGTGCTCAGAACAATGACTGGCTATTAGATGACATCTCTAACTTAATAAATGTTAGTTGCTATTTATTTTAATGGAGAAATCAAAGAAATAAAAATACTTGTGTTAAGAAACAAGGATAGCAGAGGGAAGATATATGCAGAAAAGTACTTAAGTGTAAGAGTTAAGACAATAAGTACTACAAGAAGTCTGAGTTTAGAGAGGTTTTTTTTTTTTGGTTTTTTTTTTAGAACTCAACTTAAGGGGGTCAAGAGTTACAGAAGAGGACAAGAAAAGCGTAAAATGCGCTCTTTGGAGGTGAACCGGTTGGGCAGGCTGCCCCTGGAGCTGGTAGGCAGCTTTAGCACGTAGCATTGGACAGTCAGGGCAGGATGGTAGTGCCATAAGAACACCAGTCCCATGCAGTTGGTGCTAGTCTGAAGAGACATGGAGCATCAGCTCAGACGCTTATGAATCCAAGCTTAGTGACTGACCTTCACCAAGTTAGAAAAAGTAATACCTACAGAGAAGACTTGTATTACATTAAGGAACGTATGAAAAATGACCTAGCTAAATGCAAAAAAGTTTTGTTTTCTACATGACCTACTAGTTGGGATACAGGCAACCACGCGATTGATGGCTTCATTCCTTTAAATATAATATAAACCCACCAAAGCTTGTACCATATCTACAGGGCATTGCTGCTTGAACAAATTTTTGAGCATACTGTATGTACTGGGGACCATAGTAGAAACTACTGAGAAAGTTAGGAGTATGACAAAGTTCTGCCTGGAGAAAGTTGTGGACCAGTAGTACAGACAGTCAGGTGAAGAGAGAATACCAAATGGGTGATAAGAACTATCATGGAACTATGAGTAAGAGCGCTGAGAGGAGCCCTGAGAAAGGTAACTCTTAACTTTGTGTGCGTAACAGGGAAAAGCGAGTATCAAAATCTTTGTCTAACAACAGCACAGAAAGGGCGGGGAGTAGGGGAGCTCGTTTGAAAATGACATTTTTGGTCTGGACTGGGCAAAAGAGACTGTTTAGGAATTTTGCTGGGCTTTTTGCATAAGGAGAAAGCTGGTCTGACAGTCCAGCCCCAAGGGCCAATGAATAGCTGCTGGATGATTACTAACTGACACATGGTAATAAATTTCTATAATATTAAAAGTGATATGACATATTAAAATTACATCTTTATATCTAGTACTCAGTGCCTAACCCACCGCATTCACAAAATCAAAATGATGGGTCCCGCGTTCTCAAAGGGCTGGGGGGAAGGTGGACGAGGACCTAAAGGTCAGCCAGCCGAGCCGCCATGCTTCCCGGAGCGGGACCCGGCCTCGGCGCGGAGACCCCGGGGTTTGCAGCGCAGAGGTGGGGGCTCGGGCAGGGGAAGTTCAGAGCCTCGGGAGCGGCAGCAGCACGTGGGCTGAGGGGGGTGGGGGGACGCAGACGGAGGAGTAACCGGTGGAAGTGTCAAAGAGGAAGGAGTGGAGGGCCGCTGAGGTGACAGGGTGTGGTCTGTGGGGGAGCCGACGGACCGCGAGAGGAGGGCAGGGAGACCCACCAGGACTGAGGAGGCGGTGGGAGCGTGCCTGCGTCGCTCGGTGCGGTGACAGCGAGGAGCGCGGCGCGGGGCCGAGCGGCAAGGGGAGTTTCCCGTGCTCGCCAAGTGGAGCCCAGCTCGGAGCTGCGCCAGCGCCTTCCGCCTGGGCCCTCGGTGCCAGACACCTGACGAGTGCGAAGCGGGAGTCCGGCGGAGCGTTCGGCCCCCAAGTAAGTCCTGCTTTTTCTCTCAATTTCTCCGCCGCCGCCTCAGCCTCTTTATCTGCGCAGCTAGGAGCTCCCGTTGGGGGCGGCACGAAAAGCGCACCAGAGAGCTCCGGCGGCGTCCAGGGATGCTCCGGCCCCCGAGCGCGCCCCGGCCGGCGCGGGGACCGGGCCGCCAGGCCCCGCCGCCCGGTAGCCCTGCGCAGCGCGGACGGAGGCGGTGGCAGAGTTGCTGGCACAGATATTACCCGTCTTTTGTGTCTTGCCCGATCCCAGAGCCGGGCCAGGCCGGGGGGAGGGAGCGGAAGCCACTTTATGGCTCCTGGCCCCACCTCTCGCCCCCACCCCAAATCCTTCGGGATTTCAACATGCTGAGGACTCGGGCGCAAGTGCCTTCCCGCCCCTGTGGGCTAGTTGGATCCGGGTGGGCAGCGGTCGGGCCACCATGCCGCCCTCTCTTCTAATTTTCTTTTTAGACACAGTGTCTCTTCACAGCGGGTAGGAGGGAGGCTGACTGAGTGGTCCTGGGAGTCTGGGTGTGGGGAACGACCTACCTTCTTGCTTTGCTTGGGCTGAGGAGGGGAAAGGATGGGGCTGAGGAGAGCGCCGAAGCCCGAGCGTCCCGCGCTGGCGGGCTTGCGCGCGGCCGGCGAGCAGGCGTTCGCTGGGTGGGTCCCTTGTCTGGCTCATTGTTCACGGTGACTGTTCTCGGGGCCGGGCTCCCCGACTCAGACGCCGCTCACGGGGCCGTAAATAAAAGGGACGACTTGGAGGAGTGAGGTCAAACCTTCCCGGAGGAAAGGGCTTACTAGTTTGGAAACGGACTTCTTCGAGCTCGGAGGGTTACACTCACTAGTCGTCAGTGAAAACTGCTCCTGAGTGTGAAACTTAGATTTGACTCTAATTCACGGAGACGTGCTGGAGAATTAAACCCGTAGAAACAGGGCGCGATATTTCCCCATAGAATTTGTTTTCAGAGTAACGAAGATAGAGTTTTAAGTGTTACTGGCCACTGGCAGCTTTTTCGTGCTAGCCCCTGTTTCTCTTAAAGGTTCCTGGGTGGGGTTTATTTTTTTCTCTCCTTTCCCCTTCCCCCGCCTTTTATTTTTGGGAATCTGTATTTATCATTCTGTTTGTGCCTTCAGCTAGTCGAATTGCTTGGTTTGGGGAGAAGAATCCCTTTTTAAAAACAAGTGCCGTTTCCACGCTGCAAAGGGCCAAGCGCAGGTGTAGACATCATTTATTGCTTCCCCCCACCCCCGCCTCTAGCCGCAGGCTAACATTCATGGAGGAGGGCATGTGAACTGAGAGTCAAAGGGAGCCCCGTTATCCCTAGTTGGAGATGCCAGAACACAACTAGTGCATGCTCATTTTGTTGGAGACTAGTAGGACACTCTTGTTTTCCCATGTCCCTAAATTACAAGGATATCACCTGTTCGTGGTGTCTATGGGTTAGCCCACTACAAAGGAGGGTGTATTTTCCTGAGAAGGATGTTTCTTCTTTTTCTAAGGTTCGTGGGTAGTAATTAGAGTAAGCTGATCCAACAAGAGGGATTTTTAAAAATTATATATGTGTGTGTGTGTGTGTGTGTGTGTGTGTGTGTATTTCTGTAAATCCTGGTAGTTACTAATATACCCAACTGCCCTGGTTATATTTACTCTGACTTGCCTGATGGACGTGCTAAGTGCATCAGTGTACTGAAACCTGGATTTCCAGCTCCCAGGAGAAATAATATGAACACCTCTCTCTGGCCACAGTCTGATTCCACAGGGAAAAAAAACATGCAGTAGGAGGGTTATTTAGGGTACTGAAAGCTGCGTGATTTATTCTAAGGAGGGAAACTCCAGTTAGGTAGAAAAAAATAAAAATGGAAGCCTGAGTAGGCATCCAGAGCATACTCATAGCTCCACAAATGTATTTGTGAAAATATATTGTGTTCTCTCTCTTTTATCACTCTTAGTATTTATATCCTTAATGCTTTTTATGGCAGTTTTTATGCCTCTTGGTGTTTTTTCTGGGTTTTTTTTTTTTTTTTTTTGGTTTTGGAAAAAAGAAACCTTTTATATTTTCAGTCTTATTATTTTACATTTTTAGTATCAATAGTGCTCATTGAATACATGGAATTATCTTTTAAATTTTCTTTTGTTTGTCTCCTTGCTTGTCATGTCCAACTTAGTATGGGACCACATGAGCAATGAATCAACCAGGTTCTAATGAAGATTAAGACGTGGAAGGTATCCACAGCTATGTATAAACTGTACTCGTTTAACCACTTTCCCACATGACTAATTTTAGTTACTTGCTTGTTCATCTTCTGAAGTCTCCAGACTCCAAATTCTTACCCAGATTGATTGCCGCACTAAATCTTGATTGTACAAAGAACAGAACTTAATTATTTTGGTCTCATTTATCAGACAGCAATGTTTAGTGTTGCCAGTTTAATTATATCATTGAAATATGCATGACTTTAAAGTATGTTGAAAAAGGTCCTTTTAAACTTGTTTCTTCATACAGAAAAAAAAGTCCTTGTGAAGCCATAATTTCACTGCTGTGAGGCCCCCTAGCCATTTGTGTTTATTGAGTTTACTCTTCCACATGAAGAAAGAACCATTGTTTTGTTGTCTAGGAGCTGAAGGAAGATGGAAAGTGAGAAAAGAAAATAAAGCACTTTAAAATGCTATTATTTTCTCTACTTGGGGAAATTTTTTTAAAGTAAATTGTGATTATTTTCTTAAAGATATACTAAAATCTTATTAAAGGATTCTGAGGAAAAGAAATTTTCAGGATAGAAATGCTGGCTGTTACTAAATACTCATAAATGATTGGTGTGTACAAACATGTGCATTTTTGAACCAATCTCATAACACATTTTCTTGTTTCTATAGAATTATGAAATGTTATTAATTGATTATTATTAAGACAGTGAAATCTCATCAAAATCTATATTTAAATATACTGTCTTTTTGCAAGTGCTTTAATTGTAATAGCCTGTTTGTTGAGGTTAAAAAGAACATCATTGATGTCATGGTGTGCTTTGCATTTTAAAGTGGTAGCTAATGAATTACAAACATTCATTACTCCAGAACCACTTGCTGAAATTTCTCAGGACCCCCAAATAGAGAATTATTTGTACTATATACTTACTATCATTCAAACCCTTGCTGAGTTTCTGTTGATCCCTTTTTCTTCTTTAAGATTAATTGCCTTTTAAATTAATATTATGTTGGCTCTGAATCTCTTGTTATTTTTCTCCTGTCATAAATTTATGTGTAAATATCTTCAACATTGTTTGGATTAGGGAGCTTGCTGTTGAAAACATGTAGGAATTAGTGGGAGGAGGGGTAAAGAGGGAGAGAACAACTTTTATTAAACCTGGAAAGAGCCAGAGCATAGCACAGGAGGAGAGGGCAGGTTTCATCTGAATGAAAATTCATTGAGGAATACTTCTTTGACCTTTAAAAGCCCAAGCTATGTAGCACATGATATACATTTGGGTAATTCAGGCACTCACTTCACATATCATAAGGCAAATAATAGAAATAACAGAGTATCATAGTGCCTATGTTTTGTTACATCTGAGTGGTGGCTTTAATTCCATTCACTTTTCCTCATACTAAGTAGTGAAAACTACCCACTGTTTTCTTATGCTATATATATATATATATATTTTTTTTTTTTTTGGCCAAGGGTGAGTGATAGGTGGAGTGCTGGGATGGGAAGGAACATTGTTCTATTTATGTAAAAATGAAAATTGTCACTGTTTATTTTGGAAAAATTTTATTTAAAAAGTTCAGTTTCTTCTGTAAGTTTAGTGCTTATTAAATATTTACTGAGGAAGATGAAGTTTGACACTCAATTTTCATAACGAGATGCAACCAGAAACAAATTGGTTGATTCAAATTAATGCATTTAAATCTTAAATTTAGTTTTCTTTCTCATAAACTAATATGAAGAAAAGTGTTGAATTAGGGTTTATTTTTAATAATCAATATTCATTTAGATTTCTCTTGAAACTGAAGATTAACAAGATTGAGTAATAAAAATGTAAACATTTATGAAATGACGGTATAAGGGAATACAAAACAATGATTGTGTGTACTTTTGATACATAGCTTTTTTCCCTGATAAATTAGTATTTTTAATCACAAGGGTAATGTGAATTCCTGAACTGATCACATTTTCTCTTTTGCTTTGGTCACTAGCCAATCTGAGATCTAATTCACTGACCATATACGGCTCCACGGAGTGCATTTGTGTGTTATCTTCCTCAGTGATCTTATCTTATTCTACTTATGTATGTATTTTCTCTTTTAAAATGTCTTGTTTTTTTTTTCTCTCTTTTCAGTGTGGAAGGAGACAGACCATCAAAGTTAATTTGAATAAGTGTTTAGAAATACAGTCAAGCCTGCAAATATTATGAGGTCTAATGTTGCAAATGCTGAGGGGATATCAGGCAAACTAAGGCATGAGTTCTGGTCTAGAATACTTATATTCTAGTGGATATAGAAGCCATAAACACATAACAAATTAGCCAATAATGAGTCAACGTATATAAACACACATCTGTTGCATTAAATTGAAAACCTAGACCTTATCTTTAATGATGCTCAGCTTCTGCTTTCTAGAAAAACACTATTAATAGTACCAACTGGTAAAGCAAAGTAACCAAATCTTTTCATTAGAAAGAATTCCCCTCTGGGTATACTAAACTCCAAGTAGTCTGAGGATGTGAGGATGAAAATAAATGTTGGAAAGTCATTGTGATTCTGTGGCGGTGGAGTGGAGACGTCCAGACATTTCTCTTCTCTTTCTCCTCCCTTGTCTTTCTCTCTTCCTCTGTCCGTCTCTCATTGGCTTTTCTGCTTGCTCCCCAGTCAGCCTGGTGGCCAGACCTGATTGACAGGTGTGACAATTCCAATGTCAAGCTAAATCCCACCAGGCTTGCCAGTTTATGAAATTTCTGGCCATGTAAATACAGTGTTAGTTCTAAGTACTGTACTTAAATACAGTCGTTAGGTTTAAGTGCCCACTGGTTGTTTCTCTTTGTACTTGAATCAACAACCATTTTCAGCTTTTAGATGGGGCCACCCACAAAACTGTTCTTTTTGACTGTAGAAATACTCAAGGAAAGAAAAAAAGTAAAAACATGGGAAACATAGAACTAAATTATTGACCCAGGGTGACATGTTTATGGCTAAGGCCACAAACTCTGAATTAAGCTTCCAAATCTAACCAGCTACCTGTGGGTATAAATCTGATTCTCGTCTTCTCTGTCTCCCTCGTACACACCACCACACACACATTTTTTTCAGACATCTCAATTATAGTTAATGTTAAAAATAATTTGAAGTCTAAAACACAGATCTGTTGTCCTGAACTGAAGCAAACTATCAAACAGACCATGATAAATACTGATCATTTAAACTTGGCCTTTTAAAAACCATGTTGGATATAATGAAAATCCATGTGTTAGTACACTTACTGTGCTTCCAATTATGATATAAATAGTGCATAAAGCTTTAGAATTTTCATCAAATTAATGTTTCACTGACATGCAAATTAACTACTCACATCTAAGGTGCATGCCATGTGATGATTCCTAATTGGCAAGTGAACCTCAGAGGGTTATTTATAGATTACATTGCAACAAAGTGCTGGAGTAAATTCTCATTGTGCAGCTCAATTCAAA